AACTCGCAACTCGCATTTTGTAACTCGCAACTCGCATTTTGTAACTCGCAACTCGCAACTCGCACTGAAGTAACACTCCATTATATCATTTAGTAGACTCACGGCACCAAAGTAAAAACATGGACCTATTAATAAGGTCTATGGTAAAAACTTATGATAAACATTTTATTTAAATTCATTTACAAATTATCTCCAAGATAAAATTAGAAAAAACTTATTATAATTATATAGGTCATGATTAATGCCACCAAAATATCGACGGTTGTTTGTTTTATTAAATGCCTCGTGTTGTCTTATTACTTATTATAATTACTTACCTAAAAATATCAAACGGGTAATATTTACCAACTTCCGATTAGATAATAAATCGGAAGATCTCATTTTCCATTGGTGTACTAATACAGTATTTCATTACGAAATACAAAATACGAAGAACTTCCTCCCCACTAGTAAATCACCGGGTACCTATCGCTGCGCCAATCGCTCCCCAGTTAAGTTACCGTACCAGATAATTTAAAAGGGTCTAGGCTTATCAATGTATAACATAGTACCGTAACTGAAAAGAAATATCCATTTTTTGCTAGGCCTATTAAATATACCTAAGTAATTCAGATATCAAATTTCATTTCTAGGTTTATTATCTCAAATCAGACAGTCTATGGTCATATTCCATCACGTAAACACTTAACATTCGCAATAGTCAGTTGTTCCTAGAAAGTCACCTAACCTGACATTTTCTGAAACAGTTTCAATCAAGAGTATAGATATAAGCCAGAGCTCAAATAGTTTGGAAACCTGCCAGTTTAAAATATGTTTCACTCGTGGCTCATTCAAGTCCATTCTAGGTCTACAGTTATGTTAAAATTACATTCTAAACTATGCGTATAGGAAAGTGCCAACCCTTGCTGTTCTACATTAATTTTACGTTTACCATTGACAACCAGTTTGGTCCTGTCACATCACGTTGTTGTCATAAATCAAATAAAAAATAACTCATTAATATTACAGTAAAAAGACAATACACAGCCAATAACATGGGCCTGTTCTGTAAAGTATGCTCCCTGAATGCCAGCAAAGTTCAGCT